TGTTTAACTTTAGTATAAAGGGCCAGGATGGGAAATAGATCATCCTGTTGCTGTTAAAATCTTGCACTAAACTGTATTTGCCTTGACATCCCATAGGAGATAGTGTGAGGAGATAAGTTTATTCGTGGGCTTCAGGTAAAAAGAATTAAGTTCCAGAATATTAGTTTTGTGGTGATGCTCCAAGCACAGGAGACGAAAGTCAGATGCCTGAGAAAGGACTGTGCTTGGTGACTGAGAATGGCAAGGGGACCGATGTCTGTGCGGCCCAGGGAGCAAGAGCAGGAGATGTGGTTGGATACGCAGCCAGGATCGAGTTAGTAGAGTGTGAAGATTATGGTAGGGACTTTGGATTTTATTTAAGTATCACTGGAAGCTTTGCATGGTTGACAGAAGAGAAGCAGAAGACTCTTACTGTGAGTTTGAAAAGATAATTCTGCCTATTATGTGAAGAACAAGACTAGATTGGGGCGATAGTAAAAGCTGTCAGAGCAGTTAGGAAGTTCTTGGGGCCCTCCACGTGAGAAGTGGGGGTGGCCAAGTACTGGAGGGACAGCAGTGAAGGGAGTAAAGTGTTATAAGTGAGGCTATCTTGTGAAATTAAAACCCAGAGGACTTTCCAATGGGCTTCATACAGTAATCACATGCTGCCAGAAGATGCACAAGAGAAAATGTGTGCTGAGGAGAAATCTTCACTGTGTGAGCATCATGGAGTGCACCTACATCAGCCTGGATGGTGAAGCCTACTACCGTAACTGTATGTGCATACTTCATTCAACCAACGGCACAGTGGGTGTGTTCACTTCACATCACCACAACATGCGAGTAATTGTTGCACTACAACATTCTGACGGGCCTGGCATTACTAAACAGTAGAAATTTTTCAGCTACAGTATATTATTATTAGACCACTGTTGTATGTGCCGTGTGTCATTGTCAAAACACTGTTATGTGGCCCATGGAGGTATTTCTATTTCCTAAGAGTTATTGAGGAGGAAGGGAGAGAGAGGAAGAGATTTGAAGAGAGAGAAACATCAATGTAAGAGTAGAACATCAATCCAGCCCGGCCAGTGTGGCTCAGTGGTTGAGCATGGACCCATGCAACAAGAGGTCACCTGTTTGATTCCTAGTCAGGGCACATGCCTGGGTTGCAGGCTTGATCCCCAGCAGGGTGCGTGCAGGCAGCAGCCAAAAGATGTTGATGGTTCTCAACAACATTTCTATTTCTCTTTCCCTCACCCTTCTCGCTCTCTAAAATCAATAAAAACAAATTTAAAAACAAAACAAACAAAAAAACACCAATCTGGTTACATCCTGCACTCCCCCTACCAGGGATTAAGCTCACAACCTAGAAATATGCCCTGACGGGGAATCAAACCAGTCCCCTCTTGGTGCAAGGGACAATGCTCAACCAACTGAGTCATACCCAGCCCTGGCTCCATTATAATCTTTTTTATTTTTCCTTGTTTTGTTTTTTTGTTGTTGTTATTTGTTTGTTTTTAGAGACAGACACATCAATTAGTTGCTTCTTGCACACACCTCAACCAGGGCTAGGGATCAAACCCTCAACCCTTCAGACCCTAGGCCAACGCTCTAATCATGGAGTCAAAGAGGCCAGAGCTCCATCATAATCTTATGGGACCACTGTTGTATGTGCTGTCATTGGCCAAAACACTGTTATGTGGCCCATGACTGTATGTTTAATCAAAACATGCTGTCACTTATTGAGGTGAAAACACTGAGAAAGGTTTCGGGATGATAATAAATAGTTCCACAGAGGACACATCAACTTTGGGATCTTCTTTACACATATTAAGAATGGTAAGGCCCTGGACATTTTAGCTCAGTAGATAGAGCATTGGCCTGCAGATTGAAGGTTCCGGTCAAGGGCACATGCCCAGGTTGTGGAAGTAAGGGAGAGAGAGGAAGAGATTTGAAGAGAGTCAATACATGAGGCAGCTGGTCAGTGATTCTCTCTCACCACTGATATTTCTATCTCTCCCTCTCCCTTCCTCTAAAATCAATAAAAATATATTTTTTAAAAGAGATAGTAAGAAGGAAGCTAAAGATATAGGTTGTATTCAAAGCAAGAAAAGAGATAATTTTTAGAGTCACCAGCATATAGATAATATTTAAATTAACTAAAATGAATAAGACCACCTAATGTATGCAAGAATGAGCAAAAGAGAGCGAAGAGAGACCAGAGAGGAAGGAAAAAGGCAAGATGATGTGGTATTCTGAAAGTGGGGATTTGTTTTTTGTTGTTGTTTTCAAAGAGGAAGGGAGGGAAAGAGATAGAAACATCAAGATGAGAGAGAATCATTGATTGGCTGCCTCCTGCATGCTCCCTACTGGGGATCGAGCCCAAAACCCTGACATGTGACCTGACTGGGAATCTTCCTGGTTCATGGGACAATGCTCAACCACTACGCCACACTAGCCAGGCCTGAAAGTCTTTAAAAAAAAAAAAAAAAAAAGAGCCAAAATCAGTTTGGCTCAGTGGTAGAGCGTCGGTCTGCAGACTGAAAGGTCCCAGGTTCGATTCCGGTCAGGGGCATGTACGTTGGTTGTGGGCACATCCCTGGTGGGGGGTGTGCAGGAGATGGCTGGTCGGTGTTTCTCTCTCATTGACGTTTCTAGCTCTCTCTCTCTCTCCTTTCCTCTCTGTAAAAAAAAATCAATTAAAAAAAAACAAAAACTGAAAATGGAACTCCCATTTGACCCAGTAATCCCACTCCTAGGAATATATCCCAAGAAACTAGAAACACCAATCAGAAAGGATATATGCACCCCTATGTTCAAAGCAACACAATCTACAATTGCTAGAATTTGGAAACAGCCTAGGTGCCCATCAGCAGATGATTGGATCAAAAAACTACGGTACATCTACACAATGGAATACTATGCTGCCATCAAAAAGAAGGAATTCTCATCATTTGTAGCAACCTGGATGGAATTGGAGAACATCATGCTGAGTGAAATAAGCCAGTCAATGAAAGGGAAACACCACATGACCTCACTCATTTATGGATAATAAAGAACATTATAAACTGATGAACTAAAAGATAGATGTAGAGACAGTAAAGCAACAAGCAGACTGTCAAATTACAGCGGGGAGGATAGGGAGATCTGGGGGAGATAACAGAACAACCAAAGGATTTGTACACATGCATATAAGTACAACCAATGGACACAAAACTCTGGGGAGGAAGGGTTTGAATGGGGGAGGGAGGAGATGGTAAGATATGTACACAGATAATAATTTAAAAAAAGACTGTGCACACAGCCCACAATGGGGTGCACCACGAGTATCCACCTCAGGTAACTTGGGAGGCTGAGCCACTGGGCCCTATCGGACACCTAGCACACAAAGCAACTCCATCAACTCAGGGAAGCAGCCAAAATGCGGAGACAAAGAAACAGGTCACAAATGAAAGAAATGGAGGAAAGCAAACAACTGGATATAGAGTTCAAAAGCACGGTTATAAGGTTTTTCAAGAATTTTCTAGAAAAGGCCGATAAATTTAGTGAGACCCTCAAGGATATGAAAAAGGATCAACTACAAATTAAGCATACACTGACTGAATAAAGAATAATATACAGAGATCCAACAGCAGACTAGAGGATATCAAAAATCAAGTCCAAAGATTTGAAATACAAAGAAAAGGGAGGGGGAAAAAAAACACACACAAAAAAAACACCCAACCGGAAAAGAAAAAAGAATCCAAAAATAATGAAGATAGTGTAAGAAGCCTCTGGGACAACTTTAAGCATACCAACATCAGAATTATGGGGGTTCCAGAAGAAGAGAGAACAAGATACTGAAAACCTATTTGAAGAAATAATGACAGAAAATTCCCCCCTCCCGGTGAAAGAAATAGACCTACAAGTCCAGTAAGTGCACAGAAACCCAAACAAAAGGAATCCAAAGAGGACCACACCAAGACACATCATAATTAAAATGCCAAGAGCAAAAGACAGAAAAACAGTTAGTTATCAATACCTACAAGGGCTTGTCAGCTGATTTCTCAACAGAAACTATGCAGGCCAGAAGGGAATGGCAAGAAATATTCAAAGTGATGAATAGCAAGAACCTACAACCAAGAGTACTCTACCCAGCAAAGCTATCTTTTAGAATTGAAGGCCAGATAAAGAGCTTCACCTAACTGGTTTGGCTCAGTGGATAGAGCGTCGGCCTACGTATTGAAAGGTCCCAGATTCTATTTCAGTCAAAGGCATGTATCTTAGTTGTGGGCACATTTCCAGTAGAGGGTGTGCAGGAGGCAGCTGAAATGATGTTTCTGTCTTATCAATGTTTCTAACTCTCCCTCTCTGTAAAAAAAAAAAAAAAAAAAAAAAAACAATAATTTTTTTTTTAAGAAAAAGCTAAAGGAGTTCATCACCACCAAACCAGTATTACATGAAATGCTGAAAGGTATTGAAGGGGGGGGGGGGGGGGGGGGGGGGGAGAAGGAGGGGGGAAAGATAAAAAATATGAACAACAAATACATATCTATCAACAAGTGAATCTAAAAATCAAGTGAATAAAAAGTCTGATGAACAGAATAACCTGATGAATATAATAGAATCAGGGGCATAGAAAGGGAGTGGACTGACAGTCCTGGGGGGGGGAGTTTGAGGAGTGCAGGAAGAGACTGGATAAAAATTGTACACCTATGATAAGGAGAGAGGGAGGGGGGTAAGGGCAGAAGGTGGGTTGGGAACCGGGTGGAGGGGAACTATGTAGGGGAAAAAAGAGGCACAACTGTAATAATCTGAACAATAAAGATTAATTTAAAAAAAAAAAAAAGATATTTCTCTACAGATATTAAATAATTTCTACTAAATCCCAATAGTAGGGGGGGAAAGTAATCAATTTTTTCACTTTATCAGGACTTATCAAACTATTTCAATACAGGAAATTTCAGAACTCAGTATACAGACAAATGCTAACTGTGCAAATTATTATGTGCATTTTCATGATTTTTATGAAGTTCCAATACCTGTTTCCACAATATTTTCTGTTTCTGTTGTCTCCAGACCATCCATGCTGTCCTCATCTTCCACTGTAGCTTTTCCTCTACTTCTAAGCCTACAAAGAAATAAATACATAAGGTTAAATATTAAATTTTAAGGCTTAGAATTAAACTCAATGTAATGCACCAGTTGTAGGTACACAAAATAAAATAAACATTTCTAACATTTTACTATATTAAATAGTAATATAATACTTTACTGTCATTTCCCCTCAAATCCTAATGTGCCTTTTACCTGCAAGTGAGGACAGGCCCTGATTACTACGTTTATGCCATCATAACTCACTTTCTCAGTCAGTCTGCATTTTAGACTTTGTCTCTTGTTTAGCTAATCTACAGATGCTTCCTTCTGTCTACAGTCTTGGTCTCTGATCCCTAATGGGTTCCTTTCAAAAAGTTCATACACCAGGTTATACCACTACACCTAATATTAAGGTGTGATACCTAGACAGGTAGATTTTTAAGAAAATAATGCACACCCTGTCAATCACTCGAAGAGAAAAAAGTCTAAATAGTAAGCAAGATTTAGTCATATCAACCTTACAAGTGTGATGAAATTTAACTTAAAAACACTTCAGTGAAGTAAACATAAGAGCTGTGGTATCCCAACCAGGTAGCTCAGAAGTTTGAGCATCTCATGTACCAAGAAGTCGCTGGTTCGATTCCCAGTCAGGGCACATGCCCAGGTTGCGAGCTTGATCACCAGTGAGAGGTAGAAGGAGATATAGGAGGCAACTGGTCGATGTTGATGGTTCTCTCTTTTCTCCCTCCTCCCCCTCCTCTCTCTTTTAAAAATCAATAAAAACATTTTGTAAAAGTGTTGTTGTAAAGTGGGATTATTTGATCCAAGTAATTAAAAAAAAAACAAAAACAAAAAAACTAGTGTCTTTAAATTTTTTCATGTCTGGTAAGTAAGGGATAGAAATGAGTCAAAAAATTAAAACAAATAAAATAAGAAACATGACATTACATATTTTTAAAACTTAGAAATAGGCAAAGCAGTATTCAGATTTAAACACATTAAATTATTACTTAAAATGAAAAAAAATACAAATAAACTCAGTATTTAGTTAAGAAGTATTAAAAGAATAAAAAATAAGAAATAAAACCTTGATATGGAAAAATAAAGCAAATGGCTGTTTTAAACAATAGGAAACCCATTTAAATCTTATTTAGTACACTCAACAATTAAAACAAGTAAAGGAGATACAATAATTTTTAAATAAGAATTTTTTAGAGTTAAAGTGATCGAAATCCAAATGATTTTATAAATCAAAAGGTCATCTCTACCCCAAAAATACAACTAAAAAGAAACACCTGAACCAAAACCCTAATAAAAATAGCAAAAAATACAGATTGAAAAAAGTATTGCCCCAGCCAGTGTGGCTCAATTTGCTGAGCATCATCCCCTGCACCACATGGTCCCTGGGGCTCGATTCCCCATCAAGGCACACACCCAGGTTGTAGACTCGATCCCCAATAGGGGGCGTGTAGGGGACAATCATGGATGTTTCTCACAGATTAACAAAAACATATTTTTAAAAACCTAAAATATGAGTAAATAAAATCAAAATAGAAGTATGATTTTAATATTAGAAATTTGTCAATATAACACACGAGTTCAAATAGCCAAAACAGCATCATTTCAAATTTCATGAGGGAAGGGGAGAAAGAGGCAAAATAAAAACTTAATGTCCATATTAATCTTGTAAATTAAAACTAATCTGAATTACTAAAATAATACAGGAGACTTCTACTTAAAGCCACCTGGAAGTAAGATTCAAAATTAACCTCCAGCCATCAACAACTAGAAAACCAGACAAAATATAGGGAACAGCCATTATCAGACACTGGACCACAGGCAGGGAAGGACTGGAGTCTCTGAACAAAGGGAAATAAACAAGGTGAACTCTGCCATCACAAAAGCTGTATGCACGAAGTTAATTTAAACTGCACCAGAGAGGGGCACTCAGAGACGAGCATTGTGCTGAAAGGGGGGGACAAATCATCAGTCCAGGAGGCTAAAAGAGGTTACAAACTATGGGACAGAATTTCTGTGCTATGGAGTGGAAAGAGCTCCCCAGAACCCTGCATGAGGTTACCAGTGAGTTTTTATCTGCATACCAATCTGTATAATCGTGCTGTAAAACCCTATACCTTCAAAAAAACGGACCATTATAGAAGAGTTGCAATATAAGCAAGCCCCAGAGTTCACAGAGTGCTAAGAAAGACCTCACTGACTATGCATCCAGTAGAGACCACAGTGGAACGTTCTTCAGGAGTGGGGCTAACAAATGCTATTCTAGACCTAAAAGAGCTGACAAGTAAGTCTCAACAGAACCCAAATGATCCACAACTAACTTCCCTGACAGGCAAGAAAAAAAGTTCAACACTTATGAAAGCTCTTAGCAACCACAAAATCACAATATGTGGCATCCAATAAAATTTTACAAAGAATAATTTTTTTAAAAAATGTCAGCCATAAACAGAATATCAAAGAATAGAAACAGAAAACAAAAATGATAAAAAGGACAAGACTGGACATTAAGTCAGCTACATCATTATGCCTCATCTGTAGAGGGCCGCCTGGGAAGGCACATGGGCAATTTTCATTAATTATCGTCAGCTGAACTCAAGGCGTAGGCAGAGCCACACCTTGGGAACATGTTTCCCCAAGATGGCAGACATGTTGTCAGCTTGGCCTTCATATCAGCCCAGGTGTTGGCAGGGGCGGGACTAGATATGTAAATCCAGGCATGCTAGGGCCTACTTAAGAATGCAAGCAAGGGGGGGATTGGAATGGGAGGCTGAGGACAAATATGTGATACCTTAATCAATAAAAAAAATTTTTAAAAATGCAAATAAGTTGGTGTTACTTCCTGGTATTGGGGATAAAATAAATGTGCTAGCAGGGAGGGGTCGTCTTCTCCCTGCCCCTCCAGCAGACAGGAAGCGGCCCACCCAGCTCCCAGCTTAAAATCTATCTCTGTGTCTTCTCTCTCTATTTCTAATATTTCTCAATCCCTGGCCGCCTCCACTTAGAATGGGTTCGTTCATCTCTCTTTCCATGCGGGACACGGAAAAGGGAGATCCCCGCCATGTCTGGCCCCATCGCATCAGGCCCCCCGCACTCACCTGCTCAAAAATGTAATAGAGAATGAATTATGAAGAGGGAAATAGAGATATTAAATATAAACAAAATGGAACTCATAGAGTACATTAAAAGATAACCTCAGCATTGGCCTATGCAGCTAAATGGTTAGAGCATCAGTCCTCACACTTAAGGGTCTCAGATTCAATTCCCAGTCAAGGGCACATATCTGGGTTTTGGGTTCACTCCCTGCCCCATGGGGGTGCATGAGGGAGTCAATCAATTGATGTCTCTCTCTCACATCAATATTTGTTTCTCACCCTCTCTCTATCTTTCTCTCCCTCCTTTTCTACCTTCCAATCAACAACAAAAAGATAACACCTAATAAAAATTTCACTTTGAAAGATCAACATCTGATTAGAAAGAGCAAAAAGAAAAAGAAAAAGAAAAAAAGATAACTGACCTTGAAGACATAGCAAAAAAAAAAATCTATCCAAAATTAAAGGACAAACAGCTACAGGTGGCTTTACTGATTAATTTTATTAAACATTTAAGAAATAATACTAATCCTATACTATCTTCAGGATATACTGGAGGAAGAAATACTTCCTAACTCATTCTATGAGGTAGACATTACGCTGACAACAAAAGTAAAGACATAATCAAACATCCATCATAAACAAAAATCCTGTTTCACAGAATTTAAAAAAGGGCATTCTACTACCCATTTTCCCTAGATATTAAAATTCTCATACCAAATCAAACTAAGAAAAATGTAATACAGCCCCCACTTCTTTTTTTTTTTTTTTCACTAAAAACATACAAAAAATCTCAAGCAAGGGGGTCCAGTTCTATATATGATTTAGAAATATGCCACCCACTGAATGCAAATATAAAACATGAAAATAATATATGGAACAACTATTTGAGTTTCCTTAACCAGTTAACTACCATGCGTCCAAAACAGAAACCATCCCCACATGTCACAATATTTTGAATTTAATTAAAAAAATAAAATTTGCAATGAATATTATAAAAATAAATACATTACAATTTGGGTGTTCTTGAATATTTTCAGCTGAAAATTCTCATGAAAAATGATTTTAAAGTTGGTCAGGGCTGCCACTTAGGGAAAACATTTTTTTTATAGGCGCACGTGGCATGTGGGGAAGGCCCACTGCTTGCATCTACAGATGCTCATGGCATACAATGGGTTAAAAATGCATGGCATGCCCCGCCGGTGTGGCTCAGTGTCGACCTATGAACTATGAAATCAACTCCCGGCAGGGCACATGCCCAGGCTGCGGCTCAGTCTCCAGAAGGGGACATGCAGGAAGCAGCCAATCAAGGATTCTCTCTCATCACTGATGCTTCTCTCTCTCTCTCCCTCACCCTTCCTCTCTGAAATCAATAAAAATATATTTTAGAAAAAAAATTATAATAGCAGGTTGATTGGGGACAAACACCAAAACCCAAAGTATTGCCAAAATGTCACTGACTTCACTCACTACTTTGTCTCTCCAGTATCCCCTGTACTGAAAGAACTCACTGCAGTTTGAAACCCAGAAGAGCATGCAGAGAGGTGTGAGCGCCTGAGCTGATCTGCAACCTGCCCGTGGGTGGGCCTGACCCTGATCAGTACAACACGACTTCCAAAAGTGAGCTAAGGAGATGTCCAGCACAGTCCCGGGCGGACTGCTTGGTGCTGCACACACAGTACAGGCCGACAGCATCCATACATGCCCATGAGACAGTGATCATTTTCTCGTTGGCTTCTTGGACAGAACACTCCCCTAAACTCCCATATTTTTCCTTCTGCTGGTTCCGCTTCCTCTCTATTGACCTCTAAATGGCAGAGTGCCCAGGGCTCGGCACAAAGTCTCTTCACGTACAAAGGCTCGTTCCCTGGGCAATCTCACCCAGGCTTTTGATATTTATGCTGTTATTGGCCCAAATTCCTCCACT